CTACACAATAACCAGCTGTTTGTGACGGCACGTTGTTGACAATATATAGGCGTCTTAACGCTGAATATTTGTTTAGGACATTCAGGTTTTACGCTAGGTCCCACTTCTCACACTCATATTTACTTAGTTATTATTTTTATAGTCATTTAGTTATTATTCTTCGTTATGTAGATCACAAGGGTTGTATGACAGAGAAGCATCAGTTCAAGTGACATATGTGCTGCACTTGTAGTAATGGACAAATAAGCACTGACTGTAAGTCGTCCAGTAGATCTCTGTCCACTCCCTGCCAAATACAAAGCTCCTCTACAATAATCCTAGTGACCGCCCCATCCACCGACCCTTGGTGGGGATTAACCATAAGTTGTTCGGAAATTCAGCTATCTGGGCAGCTGTATGCGAGCCTGTGGAACGGAAGACGAGATCAAGAACCGTACAGCCAAAGCTAGACGCGTTTTGTTATCCTTCGCTACTTGAAACTCTGGTTTGACACCAAGTAAGCGCTGCAGGGCAGAGTGCCTAATTGAACTATACTGTACGGTACTGAAGCGCCGTAGATAAAATGGACAAACGTGAAGAGCCTAGTTGTGTCGATAACTAGTGCCCTTGAGGCTTAGCTCAATCATTTTTATCGTCAGCAATATACCTCGGCTGAGGGTGAGAAATACACCTCAGCTAATGTGCCGCAATACAAAAAATTACACTACAAGAAAGCAAAAGCGAGAAATATAATGTTAAATATTAAAGTACGCATTTCGAATAATATGTGAATTGGAGAGAGAATCCTGAAGGGGAAGGGGTGGACAAAGAAAATCACAACACAAAAGTCACTGGGGCCGGCTTTTCGCCATATAAGCAAGTGTGTCCAACCAAAGGCGTTCATCCTTATAAGGACTCCAGCACGGCAATCGAGATGCAGCAACCGACGCCTGTTTCGAAATGAAGGTTTTCATTTCTCTTGACCAAGTCATTGCTTGGCTTCCCCATCTCCTTTTCCAACGCCACCCTGGCGCGCAAACAATGCATGTCGCGGGAGTCGGTGTGCTCGCATGCACAACGCCTGACCAAGCCATCGGAGCCTGGTACGTGATATAGTGGTGCTGAGCGGTTCACTTGCTCTTCCTATACCAAATACGCGGGGGCCGAACACATTCATTGCCCACGCGGTGCTCCCACCAGACATGAGCTAAGATGCGAAGGCAGCGATGATCAAACGTGACCAGCCTCTTTATGTCTGTCGACCTGATGGGCCAGGTTACACAACCGTATAAGAGCGGTGAACGGACGGCTGCGTTAAAAACTCTCCTTGTCAGGGCGAGAGTGATGTCGCATCTACGCCAAAGGTGGCGGAGATGGGCAAAAGCACTTCGATCTTTTACGATACGATTCGTGATCTCCTCTTCGATCATATGGGCGCTAATAAGACAGCCCACGTAGTTGAAATCCTGAACGACTTCAAGCTGATCCTCACCAAAGTTCGGCGCAGGGGTGCGTTCCTGCCAATCTCTTGGAGAAGGACTTTGCATTTAGATGGAGCAAAGAATAGCCCAAAACGATTGATAGCTAGTGCTAATCAGTTCAGTGCGGCATGGCAATATCTGGGAGCTGTCACAGATAAAGGCAGTATCGTCAGCATACTCCAACTCAAGAAGTCACTCATCAGGAAGCAGTTCCACGCCATCTAGGTCGTGTACAGCGAACGCTGTTTCAATGAAGTCGTCAATGGAGAAATTAAAGAGAAAAGGTGACAGTGCAAAACCTTGACTCACACCGCTAGAGATACTGAAGGGCGGCGACAGTTTCCCAAAAACCCTCGCTCTGCCCAAAATATGCGCGTACAAAGCTCTGATAATAATTACGTATTCATCGGGAACAGCTACCCTCAGCAAACAGCGCCAAAGGGCACATTGATCAACCGAGTTAAATGCACCTTTGAAATCAAAAAACATGACAACAATGGGTCGCCAATAAACGTGGCGGTGCTCCAACTATTGACGCAAAGTAAAGATTTGGTCGACGCAGCCTCCACCTTGACGAAACCCGGCTCGCTTTCCATGAATCTGGCTTTCACGAGTGTCATTCAGTATGTGGAGAACAACAGACGCAAGCAAATTAGAGGTACTTGAGATCAGCCTGGTCTCTCTTTGATTGTGGCATTCAGAACGGGAGCCTCCTCTGAAAATTGGGGTAATGACGGAGCGGCTTCAGTCTTTTGGGACAGCTTCCTGCTTTCAAGTCTCACTAGTAACTCGCGGAAATCATCTACGAGAGCAGGTCCGTCGAGTATGAAGAGGGCTGAAGGAATCCTATCTAACACTGCAGCCTTATGCACTTTCTACAGTCTTACGTTCGACTTCTGCGTGTTAAATCGGATCCAAGGAGACGATCAAGAGAGAATGGCTCTCAATGCCTGAAGAAGAAGAAGAAGAAGAAGAAGAAGGCGATAATGCAGGTTGATTAAACTGTCTTGCAAAGGCTTCGGCCCAACACTCCAAGCGTTGTGACAAGCTATGGGTCGGCTATCACTCTCGTCTCATATGGTCTCACTAACACCAGGTCTACTGCTGTCTGTTTTCCGTATCAGATGGAATAACCTACGATGACTACTAACGGCAGCGGTTGTTTCCATTTTCGATACAAGATGAGACCACCAGGCTTCGCGGTCTCTCTTCAGGCAAGCACGCAGTTTTGTCCTGAGATTTTTGAAAGTCTCAATGTATTCGCTACCAACCAGAATACGCTGGCGAGGGTCCCATAGACTGTGTAGAGACCCTAGGTACAGGTTGGCAATTTGATTTGCCACATGAAGACATGCCTGCTGATAGTAACGTTTGGCGCATATGCAATCAGTGATCCAAAACTGTGCTCAGTAGGCGCTTACTCAGCCCGGATCCCAGCGTACTTTGATACGCATTCAGAACAATTCACTTCGCCAGCTGACTGGTGTCAATGCGCTAAGCAACGAGGTTGCGGACGCCCACCAAAACGAAACCGAAGGTTGACACACACAAGAATGTGATCTGAGTCCACCCTCAGGCTCCAAATGGAGCGACGGTTTTGGACAGCCTCTCCAGCGGTAACAGATCGCAATGTGATCGATTGACGTCCATGGCTGGTGGGCGCCAAGTCAAGCGTGCTGTGTCGAAGTGTAGAGCTCGCAGGAAAGAGACGAGCATCTTCACAAAGGTGTAACAACCGCTCACCGTGATCACTACGGGAGCCTAGACCGTGTTGGCCGCCCAGATGAAGCTCATCAGAGGACAATTTTCCGACCTGCGTGTTTAGATCACCAGCCAGCACTATTGTACTCGTGCTTCTCTTGTAACGAAAATGATCGTTACGTTGTTGATAGAATGCATCTTTCACCGAGTCAGGGGTGCAGTTTGTGGGGGCATAGGCGTTTATCCCCGTGCGAATTAGAAGCCTGGAAGGAACCAGATAATCTAACGGCGTACAAGCGGCAGTGGACTGGGATCCAATCCATCAGGGCAGCATCAGCCAAAGAACTCCAAATAAAGCCGACGCCAGCTTGACCATCATTTGAAGCTGCGTCATTTGCAGACAGGCGCAATGAGAATGTGCCGCCAGTGTGGCATGTGGAGGATCGCAGGATAAGCACAGAGCTCGAATCATGCAGGCGGGTTTCCTACAAAGAGCAAATTTCGATCGATAGGGTCTCGAGTGCTCGGGCAATGGCTGCTTGTTAGTCAATCTGTAGCAAAGTGAGCAGGTTGAGGCATGATAGTCTTAGCGAGGATTGAAGACTTCAAAAGTAACGGATGAACTGAGGTTGTCCGCTTAGTTGGACATGGACTTGTCGACTGGATTGGTGCGATATATTGCCCTTGTGTGTGAGCTGAAACTTGAAGACAAGCGACTGTTGAAACAAGGTGGGGTGGTCAGAAATTGTGTAGTTGAAATCGGGGGGGGGGGGGGTAAAAGTAGTTGGAGCGGAACGCTAGAGATGAAAAAGTGCAAGTGGGAGTATAGGAAGATGGGAAGGCCTGAGAAGCAGCATCCGAACCTGAATCCACCCTGCCCGATGCAGCAGATAGGGCGCCGTTTATTATCCTCCGCGGCGACCAGAGCACCAGGAAATCGTGTAGAGAGAAGTTCGTGGAGTTGTATTGCGCGCAGAATACTTTCAGGTTGCCCAGGCCTAGATAGCAGAAGGATTAGCTACGCTCACAGTTAGTAGAAATATCGTGTGAGCATTGAGAGCACTCAGAACATTGTTCATAGTACGGGAAGGAATAGTTAGCCCATCGCGTCGAACGTATTCGGTATTTTAATCAATGAACATTTTAACAGCGGGAAAGGATCATGCATGATACTGAGAAACATATTAAAAACTGGGATAGAGATACGTCCTCGGGCTGGTGAGCTGGTGTATACACTGAACTGCCACTCACAATCAAACATAACAATGTGACAAACCGTGTTAGAAGAGATGTGAAACCACGAGAAGCTACACCGCGTCAAATGGCCCAAAGCAATAAACACCCTGTCGCTTCAGCTTGGATGGAAACAGGGGTAACTGCATTGTGCAAATACTTATCTCGCCATGATCATAATCTAGTCAGCAGACTTCCAACGCAACAGCCTGTGAATGCGAGACCGCAATCGGCAGGCCACTAGTGTTCTTTATTCATCGGGCCAAACACAACAAATTGATGGAATAAACATTGAACCGAGGCATCACCAGTAACCCAGTACGCAATACCAAAGCGTCACTGACGCGCAACTACCACCGGTCGCACGTGGGCTAAGGATACTGCGATAATCACCCGGTCCCTACGCAGGTTCGAACCCGCGCAATCAGATTACAAGGCAGGCTTGTGATCCTGAGGGTCAAGAACCAGCTGATCCTTAAGGCTAAGGGACGACATACTGAGCAAAAATAATTGTTACTTACAAACAACATTTAATGCATATTGCACACGTTCGGTGAGTTATCGGAAGGAGTTACTGAGGGATAGTGCAATCAATGTAGAACTCACTCAAATGTACAGCTTCTACGTGTGCCCGAAGACGACATTTTGGGAAAAACGATTTTTCGCAGTATTCACATGTGTGATCTCGTTGGTCTGAGAACGAAAACAACACGTTTGAGGTCACACACAGAATAAACAATTTGCAAGACAACAAAAAGTCTTTCAGATTATATTCCACGTAATATGGTAGCCAATGATCCAAAAAGCTGCGCAGCACATCGTAGGCTGTTATATATTCAAAAGTCCCCGTGAATGGTGTAAGATAGGAAACCGTCAGAATTACAAGCTGATTCTATTGCGCCGATCGAAGCCTCCAGTAAGCATCTGAACGGTCGCTATTCAGAGCTAAGTTGATACCGTGAATACACTTCGTTGGTTCAATGTATTGGAATATGTTTGGAACCGACTGTGATTTCATGATTTCAGAAGGTTTTGTATACAAATCGGTTTTCGTAGAGTTTTATTGTGGCAACGTTTCGCCCTTGACACAAGAGCTTCTTCAGGCCAGGACTTCGTTGGTGTATGCCACCAGCTGATTCATCGAGTACATGACTTTAAGTAACATCGGCGAATGCCAATTTGAGTACACATTAATAAACATCATCAATTACCATGCTTTATCCAAATAGTAAGATGAAATAAAACATAATATAAACATGATTTCTGTACCGCCCCAACAGGGCGAAACGCGCGTCTGCTGCTTTTCCGGATTGGTAGAAAACCTATGCGGTATGGAATCTAGCTGCGATGAACCAAATTGAAAGCAGTAAAAACGCAGCGACGACTGGCACATCCATCTTATTGTGTATAGACCGCAGGCATGCACATTCCCCTTTCTACAACAATGATGGTGGTCACGACGATGCTCGTTCGTTCACAGCGCCCGACAATAGAGAAACGGAATATAACAGGATTAAAAATTCAAATAGTGTGATAAGAAATCAGGGTAAGCGAACACATGCATTCTATAATTCATCTTATATACTTGTATATGCAACATATACATATATGCGCATATATACAAATCAAAATGTGCCGACAGACATTACAAGTCGTTACTACTAGAGCAAGTTAATTGAATGCTGACAGCGCTGTCTGTTAAGACACGACACTGACCTCGTGGGCCAGAGGTCAACGGCGGCTTGGGCCAGGGCAGCCCCAAGCCTCTAGTTGGCTTCTTCTGAACACATAGCTCCGGTTCATACAGCCGGATCGCAATTGCTTCAGCGGCTTCTAGTAGTCGCTTGCGGACGCAGTTCGCGCAGTTCTTTGGGACCTGAGAGATAAGTTTGAACGAATCAGTGAACTCTGTGGCGTGCCCTGTATCGGCTAGGTTCGCTGTATTTTCGCTTCCAGTTTAACAGGAGCAAACACTAGATCCCAATGAGGCAATAAGGCAGCACCTTACCGTGGTGCGATGGTTTGTGCGCCTCAGCGATCCACTGGGCTACGCCGGGTGGTATTTTTTGCACCTTCAGAATCACTTCCACCATAGGTCAATGGAAAGAGACCAGACAAAAACTAAATCACCCGGTCCTCCAGGTTGGGAGCTGGAGTTAGGATGCCCCTTTATTCTTTAATATGGACTCATTGTGGCCCATTGCCTAACCCATTGTTTTCCGGTCAGGTTTCTGAAGAAAGGCTTTGGTTGAGAACCCTAATCTTTCTATTATCTAGGTCTGGGCAACCTGACAGTATCCTGCCCATCCAATACAATGGATCTTTCCTCAAGGAATTCCTTGATGCGCCAACAGCCGCGGAGAATAATCGAAGACGCTCTATCTACTGCATCGAGCAGGGTGGATAAGGGTTTGGATGCTAGTGCACAAGCCTTCCCGACTTCTCATTTCCGACTTACGCTTTTTTATCCTTATTGTCCGGTTCCAACTTCACTTCTATCCCCCCGTTTTCCACCCTTAATTTTTGGCCTTCCTCCACCATGCTTGGATAAACCTTCATCATCTAGTTTCGACTCACGTGCAAACGCGGAGCGTCACCCTTGCCCTATCAACAAATCCATTTATAACCAAGTGATAAAGCCTAGTTCAGCAGCTTCTATTTGGAACTCGTGAACCTCTTCAGATTGGCATGCTTCAACTTACGAATACTGTTATAAACCGGTCAAAAGGCATCACCAGTCTGAACACTGGAGACCATCTCGATCAATATCCGCTGGCTATCGGAAACCTGTTTAGAAGATCAGAGCTCTGTTCTGTTGATTGCACTTTCAACTTATGCCCCCACCGACTGCAGTTCTAACGCTACTAAGGAAGCCTACTACCACGAGCTAAACATGCAGCTACGCAGTGCTATCAATTCAGATACCAATGTAATTGCTTGGGATATGAGCGCGCAAGTAGTCGTTTGACCACTGCAGAAGCTTAACTAAGTGTGGACTAAAACTCTGACCGGACGGACAACGACGACCGTCTCTTGCTAATATGTGTGGAGCACAGCTTTCAGACACACTGCGAGACACAGCGCGGCACATACCCATAGGTGGTCATCGGTTGCAAGTTCCAGAGACCGCACTAGCAGCAGGTAAATCCTCATGTGGTAAATCCGAAAGCCAACATGGACACTGGGTCCCTTTGCAGTCTCCGGAACTTATCGATGCTCGCCGGCACATTCCGGCTGGAAGTGAACACAATCAGACGCGCAAAGAGCTCCGCCCAAAATTCTGTGCTAGCCTGAAGAAAAATCTGGTGGTCTCACCGTGTGTCAGAGAAGTAAGCGGCATCTGTAAGTGGTACCCCTGTTAAGTTATTAAGTCAGGTACGGCAAACGGACAGCAGGAGACCAAGAGTTAATTAAAACATATGTAACGACTCTGTACAGCCAATATCAGTCTGATCCCCATCGCCTCCAAATTGCTTGACTCTGTCATTCTTCACAGATTGACTAGCAGTCTTGAAGGCCACATTCGTGAGAATCAGACTGGGTTTCGTTGAGGCCGGGGTTGCATCGATCACTTCAGTCGTTGGAGCACTGACATATATATTGGAAGCGTACCGGTGTCGTGTTCCTTGACATTCAAGATGACTTCGATTCGATTGATCGATGTGCCCTTTCGGAATGTCTGCTAAGGGAAAGTGCGCCCGAGAAATATGCAAATATTATCCGAGCGCTTTATGCGCGTACCTCGGACAGAGTGAGAGTTACGCTTCTGTTAGTTTCCGAGGTTTCGACCGTCTACGACACCCGAGACCTCATTAACGCGTTGAGCATCCGTTAGAAGATTGCAGGATCAATTCGACTGAAAGCAATCCGCCATCAGTTGGCGGGGGCCTTTAAACCGGCTGTTGCCCTTTTCGTCGAAAAATTTATTTTACATTATCTACTGTAGATATTTCAGTTTTGCAAGAATAAACTGATGGATATTTTGTTCAGTCAACCTTAAAGGTCACTGTGACCAGACTGCTCTATCCATCTTTTGAATAGAAACGGCGATATATCGTGCACGATCCCGATGTACCATCTTTGGACATAAAATTTCACCTCAACTGAAACGATTTATGAAAAAAAAGATTGCAACAAAAGCTTGTTCGTTATTGATTGGATGCAAACCCCGAAGATTTAGTACAGCATTATGGAATCCTTACTTGATTGATTGATCATGACAAGGCACCATTCTCATTTTTCTACTCATTTAAAACCTCAATATTTTTGTTTTTAACCATCTGATATATTTACGGTTGATAATGATAATGGGTACATAAGGCTTATACTGACTGACTGACTGACTGAACACCTTTACGGGTTGCTTTCACAAATCTGAGCTATTATGAACCACTAACCTAAGGTCACGCGTGCAACATAAGCTGTCGTGCCAAGCATTACTCATTGCGACCCGGTGGCTAGAGAGGCAAAGATCCCAACCAACCTCTACCTGATTGGATCAAACGATATCAAAAAGCGTAGGGGATGGTAGTATTTTGCGTCGGGCAAAACTTCCATTAAAACTAAGTGATCCAATTTATCAAGGCTCATTTCAATGCGAAGCAGGGTCCACATTGAGATTGCGCGTCCCAATCCAATCATACAAAGAGTACTTCGAAATGACCATACAATCAATGGAGGTGGCTTCTTGTTTAATGAATTTGCTGATCCGTTCAACACTCTCAGAACGGCGACAAGTAGTTGTTTCCGTGCTCTTAAGAAGGTGCGAAAATGACCGAGACGTTCGCTTTATTTTTAATTCCTACAAACTTCTGACGGGTAACACTCGTCGACTTACTGGTCCTGGTGAGATACGAATAACTGAAAGGCAAGCAAACAGGTCTTCACTGTGGCCGCGGTTGCATTGTGCACACAACTACTCCTCGATAT